ACACACACACACATACACACGCAGTACGTTAGCACCATGTCACCTGAAGATTTTCCCAAAATGAACGACAGGAAGATAAATATTCTGCAAAGAACAACATCAAGAATTTGCAACCAAGCAAAATAACACCAAGAATTCGCAAGCAAATAATGTGGAAAGGAATTCTCGCATATTTCAAGCAAAGCACGGCCGAAGAAAACCACCATTCCATCTCGCTAAGAGCGCAAGAAGGATTTTCCAGTCGGCGCCATTGTTTTGCACAGCTCGACTGCGTGCGATTGCATACGCTGAGGTGCTACCGTACCCTTGCGTTACGCTTGCTACTCAGTGGGAACTTAACATCATGGGGAAACCAGGGAGTGATGTCCAATGAATGGCACCTATGAATCTAAGTTGAATGAATTTTGAAGTGTGGCTTCTGGGCAATTTAGCCACGGGTTCGCTTCAATCGGAAAACCAACCGATATAATTTCAAAGGCAAAGCCCGGGGCTACATATGAAAAGTAATGGAGCTCAGATGCGAATAACAACGCAATAAGTTAGTGAATAAGAAATGAAAAGCAACAAAAGATCATCGGGCATGCTTTTTATAGGGCCCTGTGCTGAACCGAGGTTGGACAAAGGACGAAGGGAAGGCGTGGCCTGGACGAGTTCAAAGTGCTACTGTGCGCCATCTCTAGGTTTGGCTTAGGCAATTTGCCAACAAGTCGTGGCGTGATTGCGTACGATGAGCGACTACCTTAATCGTTTGCAGGCATGGAAGATGTATTTTTACTGCAGCACAAAGTGTGCGGTCACCCGGTCGCGGCGAAGGCAATAACCCACGCAATGCTCCATGCCGCACCCATCTTTCACTTCTAAAGCACCCTATGGCTACCTATTTTAGTAGCTATTTCGCGACTAGGTTTTCCATTCGAATGTTGAGAGGTGATGAGGGAAGGAGCTATTGAACGCGATTATTTCTCGCCAGCAGCTGGAGGCGGTTTGAAATTTCCCGCGCGCGCAATTTTGAACTCAGCTGATTTTCATCCAGAACGGTAGTAAACTTCACTTCAGAACTTTAGTTCTTACTATCCTAGAAGTGGATTTATTAGGATGATGATGACTTTTTGTACCTTAGAAAATAAGCAGTGCAAGTATCCTAAAATTGATTTTCATCTAATTGTAAGATGATTCGAAACCAGTGTAAAATAGAATGTTGACACTCCAAGCGTCCTGGAAGGGTTATGTACTGACAAGGGAACCCCAACAGGTCGATCCGGCCATTTGCAATGAGATGTACATACATGGGCGTGCCTTGAGCCGCTGAATTCAAATCTGCCCTCCTTTTTTGCGGAACGATTCTCTGAAGAGAGTTACGGACCATTTAATCTTTGCTCTGTTGTACAAGTTGAGAAGGATAGTTGCTTGCGGCAAGCGGCGATGGCCCAGTGGATAAGCGCAGTGCTTCAGAGACACGAGGTCGCATGTTGGAATCCTTGACTCTTAAAATATTTTTGCTTTTGTTCAAAGCACTTCATATCAGTCCCCAGAACACTTCTGTTTGGCCAATTCACCTAATCTCTGATTATTTGACAATAGGAGCGGCCATTGCTCCATTTGTGGTTCCTTCCGAAAACTTTTATTATGTGGATGACCGTTTCTAGAGCTCGCATAGAGGAATGGAGATTTTACGGTATAAGAGCACATGTGGTATACTTCCACAAAATGATAGAAACAATACGAGTTCTTAAAATGAGCGGAGCAAATGAAAAGTACTCTGCACGGTACATTACAGTTCTCCAAAAATCCGGAGGGGAAGCAGTACTGAAGAGGTGTTTCGGCCAAGGCGGAT